ATGCAAAAAATAAATCTTTATATCTTTATTTTTTTAACACTCGCTCGTACAGTAAAGGAAAATGTCGTGAGACATTGTTTTCCTTCACCGTATAAGCGAGCAGGTCTTTAGAACCAAAAAGGTTGACGTGTATCGGGCACAGAAGGCTGATCGTCTACGTGCCTATTACAGAAAGTATCACGAAACTGATACAGAAATCTGGAATAAAATAAGTTGTACCTACTTTTTTTTTTAATACTTTCAATACTAAAAACTTACAGAGATAGATATTTTGATTTTGTCTACACTCGAATGTAGCGTAAACAATTCGGACGTTACTAAAAAGCAATAATAAGCTTCGTTTAATAGCAATATGTTCCCGATGGCAATATTGGCTATTTATTTGCTCGCCCGAGACAAAGGTACACGTATATTAACTTTCACCAAATAAACACGTCAACAGGATATTTAAGATAATTTTATTAAATCTTTACGATTTATATTTAATGCAATTTTGGCCGCGCATCACCACTAAGTGCCACCGGCTGCCCACTGAAGCATTCTGAAACTATTCGACTTAGGGTTTTTCACGAACAGATCGTACCGATTCTTAAAAGGCGTCCGCGCACTTGCGAGGCTTCTAGAAGCGTGTATGTGCGACGGTGTCACTTAACATCAGGTGCCTCGTTTGCCACCTGTTCTATAAAAAAAATTTGCTTTGCGTCTTGAAATGTCGAGTAATGTGTGGGATGATGATTGACCGAAGTCTGCAAACGATGTTTACATTACATTATTTACTAATGTTAAGTACCTTCAAACTATATTAATAGTTACTGCAGCAATTTGTGATCGTTCGTGATTTTAATTAGATATGTTTCTCGTATAATTCATTGATTGCCGTTTTGTGTTTGAATTTAGTGGACCACCAATATATTTTTTTTTTTGTGTTTCGTACATTGTCTGACCTTGTCTATTTTGTGAATATTTATCCCTTCCATCGGAATTTATCTAATATCCAAACCGATCCCTGAATAATTATTTAAAAAAAAACAGGTCAATGTTCTTTTACTGTAGGGCATTGAGGTAGATAGTAGGTAAGGCTAAGTTATTTCTTGTACATATATAGTTTGAAAATTCACGATACAATTTTTGATATTTTTACCTAAATATTAATTGCGCACATAGAAACAACATTCCACTAGTACACACCCTGAATTCGAACCTACGACCTCGCGGTATGAGTCGCAACCTACTAGGCGACCACTGCTCATTGCAGCTATTAATCGCTAACATCATTGAAATCAATTGCAGATACACTATAATGTTACAGCGACATATAAATTTGTGATTTCCACAAACTAAAAATTACCCCATTATATTCCCTCCAAGCGTCTTCGATTATGCGGAACATTTAGTGCTAAAGTACTTTCCGAACTTAATCATATAACAAAGTTATTGATTAAAACTCAAGCGGAGTGACCTAATGAACTGCAGGCGATTACAAGAGCAGCAAACTTCCAGTTGCGGAACTCCTCGAAAGCTTTTAAAAGGTAATTTAATTTCTAATCGAACGTAAAAATTATTCAACTTTATCGCTTCAAACTGGGAAAGCCATGCTTTTGTGTTTTATAAATATAATATATCTTACTTTTCAGAGAAACAGCAGCATATATTTTTACTACAGTCAAAACCGTTTACGACGACATCGTTTAGAACAACATACCGGTTATATTGACCAAAATCAAAGGACCTGGCTGAATTCTATTGTAATAGGTACTTAATAACAACGTCATCGGCTGTTACGACTATCGGTTTTTACGACCAAATATGAGTAGTCCCTTCAATGTCGTTATAACAGATCTTCAGTGTAGTTTGTTGGATAAAAAAACTATTAAATTTTGTTGGATTTTTAACATACAATTTTTTTTACTTATCAGTTATATTATATGAATTGCATAGTGTATATTATATATTTTTCTCTACATTATCTTATGTATAGTCACGTAAGCTTCCAGAGGGATATAGGACATATACATATATATATTTAGTTCAGCTTCGTTGTTTCTGAACCAGTTATACCGAGAATCGAATACAGACCAAGTCCAACACACACCGAGTAACAGAGGCGAGAAGATACCTTTATTCTACTGTCAGCTTGTAAATGACATAAAAAATATTTTACAAACCTGATGATACCTGACTCAGACGATTATAATTAAACGAGAAAATAAAACTATACAACGTCAAAGTCGTCACCGGAGCAGAACTCAACTTTTCAGTTTGGTAGAAGAAAATGTGTTTAATTTTTATACAGTATGGTTACCCTACACCCAAGCAACTGTTTTTACATCCACTGATTTAATACTCTTTTTCGAGGCTCAAGTTTTAATTAGTGGGAGAAGTTTGTGCAGCTCTTTTAAGCAATCACAACTTAGCCAAGCTTTACATGCAACTCGGAAGTATGAAGTTATCTAAACAATCTTTAATTTCCTGTTTTTCTGATCTTCATTATAACTTTATCCTTTGACAGATATTAGACTAAATCTTTATCATTTATTTGTAACTTTGGTATACTGAACTGTTAGTTTTTTTAGCGTAGCGACTCATGCTTTACAAAAATGCGGGGTCCATCAATGCATTACTCTTAACTTAAAAAAGTTCAATACAGCGTCTTATGCCCTACGATAATATGACATATCTCCTTTTTTATAAAGCACTAAATGTTGATGCCTCGATTTAGACAAATTTAATTTTCAGTATTATTGATATCGTAGAAAATATCTTGAGACAAACGAATCCTCGTAACACGTAGTGACTTTATAGAGGCAATATTATTGCAAGTGTAGCGGTTCGAAGTACATTGTCTGTATAAGTGAAGCTATACACGTCGCGTTGTATCGGAGTAACGTAATGTATGCAAAACGAGCTAATAAAAGCGAGCTGGGTGCCGCAGTAAATTCAAGTACGGTTGACATTTATCCAAAGTTACATCCGTTACAATAACAGTCGCAGTAACGATATCCGAGCGTCTCCCATTTGTTCTAGTTTGTGAACTGCACTCTCCTTTTAACTGTCTTACTACACACAAAGCTATAATATATCCAAAAAATTTTACAGTAGACTCGCCAGTGCTTTGCCGGCCTTCTAAGGCGTGTTACTTAAATGAACACTAGAAGTATTCATGTATTCAAATACAAAGTTGTAGATCGCAGTAATTTATGAAATGCTTTAAATTTTCCAGTAACCGCGGCCAAATTTCAAATCAATCTTAAGGCAGTGTTGAGAGGTTCGTGAAAGATAAACGATTGTACTGTAAAATATTCTTCGTTTTATTTGGACTACGAATAATTACAAGGACTGGCTGTATACCAGACCTGAAATTCAACGTAAAACGTGTTTTTCTGGTGTAACGTCGCATTTATAATAATTCTACCCTCATAAGTAAGAATTATTAAGAAATTTATTATTAATACGTTTATTTATGACTTCTTAATCGCATTGTCAATATACAAATAAAACATCTCTCTCGTCGTTCTGAATACATAACAATTTTTTTATTAGATTCGGAGAAATTTATTTAAAATGTATATGTATCGATAAAATTAGTAGTGTTGGCCTAATTCCAGCGTGCTACTCTCATCCCCGAGGACGTAGTTTCGATCCCATCCTGTGCACTAATAGACTTTCTGTCTATGTGCGCCTTTAACACTCGCTGTAAGTAGAAAGTCGACGGCGGCAGGCATAGAAGGCTAATCACCTATTATCTATTAAGAAAACTATATGATCACGATTCATTCAAAAATCTGAGCAAAAATCTGTTGCGCTACTAGTGTTTTCTAAAAGATGGCACCATTCACTATTTAAATTTTAAGAGTAGGTAGATAACCTGAGATACTTTTCATGTGGACTTGACGTCATTAGGCATTTACGTCGTTTTAGAATGAAATGAATTTGATTATATCTCATCAGAAATAATACGTTTTAGGGTCCTTCGAGAAAAGAGCGTACCAATTCTTAAAAGGCCGGCAATGCACTCGCGAGCCATACTACAGTTACTAAATGTATACTAATCCATGTCTACCATTTGCAAAAAATCGTATTTTTATTATCGTAACCCAATAAGTGGAATAGCAGCCTCCAATAATGGAAAACTTTACACAAAGTGTCGAGGCGGCGGGATTAGACGGGCGGAGCTTTAAGCGTTGTTAAAATTCAACGCGCGACTAGTAGCCATAAACAATGGTCACTTGTGATATGCAATAACAGCACACTAACTTTGGGATATTAAGATCAAGCTTTTTGCAACATTTCTCTTATACTTACGATGACAAGGAAAAGCTTATTTGTCGTTGTTTTGGTAACTTTTCAAGAATTATCGCAAATAACATTGTAAAATTGATCTTTCCAGCCTCCCTCGGCAATTAATTATGAACCTAGTATACTTCGCGGCAGTTTCACAGCACACGATACAAGGTGGATTATCAAGGATTTTCGTCTCCCGCTTTAAGCTAGGATTAAATTTTCTTTGTCTACGTACGGGGCCTTTTATTACGTAAATGTCGGCGTAATTTGGTTCAGATAAGATCAGTCGTAATAAGCGCTTTCATGATTACAGGCGCAACGTAATTATTGAAGATTGAGTGATATTGACGAAATATTATCATAACTTATCCTTGGGGCCTTTTCATACACTAATTATACTTTAGTCATAGGCTATCTAATTTGACGTTTGTATTCGTGTGAATATAGTGGAAAGAACCACCAGGAAAAAGATAGAGAGGTGCAAGAGCACGGTGACGGAGCTTAAGGAAGTTGGTGGAGAGGATTGGGAGAAAAATGCTCACAACAAAGAGATGGAGCCAATTGGAGGAGGCCTATACTTAATAAGGTAATAAGGAGGAAAAAAAAATATTTTAAGTTTGCGTGATGTTGTAAATTCAAGGAATAAATGAGGCTTTATTTTTATTAATATACGTGTGTGAGTGTAAGACACAACTGTCTCTTACTACCCAAAATAAAACTTAAGTGCAGTCATAGTCCATGACACCCATTTTAACGGCCTTTAAAGGAAGGTCTCTTTTTTTACACAAATGAAGGTCGTATCGCCCTGGGAAGACCTCCACCGGAAGACCATGCCACAGATCGCTAGCGAAAAAATGAAGAATGCCTAGTGAACCGGGCCGTAGAAGACTTCCAGCCATCAGGTAATGCAGATGAAATCTGAAGTTTATACGGCTCGTACCATGATCAAAAGAGGCAAGATATATTAACTCAATCAACTCTTCAGAACACTCTGCATAATACACTTTGTAGAAGACGCATAGAGGGGCAATGTTTCTGCGTAGAGAGAGAGAACAAAGCCGATCAGTAATAGATTGGCTATTGAATACGTTGAATTTGGTCAAAAGGAAAAAACAGCAGGCGGGGGAAGGGGAAAGGGGAAGCAGCATTTACCTGATATTTTGCTGTAACCTTGTATTCGGTAGAATTTCTAAACAGAACTTAATGAGTTACATGGTTTATACATATTTAAAATAACTAAATCTCTTTAGTATAACAGTTAAAAACCAAGATTCTATAAATACCAAATATCGTAGTAACACAGAGTGACTAGGTCGTAAGTGCAACGTCTTGTTTATCACATGCTGCGGTAAAACTGTTTAATCCGAAACACATTAAAGTGCCAAGTTTCGCAAGCGCCACGGGCATTCCTTCGGGCGCTTGTGATTTCCTATCCGAAACAGCAACAATTTAACAAATATAACTTTACGGTTTTGTTTTGTTTACGTATATTAATTAAGCAATAATTAAAGAGAATTCTTTTATACGCAATAATTTATTTAACAGCCTCATAGTGTTTACAATAGTATACAATTGTTATCAATTGTTTTTTGTTACCAATTATTTATTATTTGCTTATCAGAGGAAAACGGATTTAGTTATTTAATTAAGCGATTATATTTATGTCCCGATCTTTTTATCCTGGCACTAATGACTCGATATTATTTATGTACAACTTAGTTAAATGTTTTGTGATCATTTTTCATTAAATTTTTATAGCTATTACCAGATTAGAGAACGTTTATAAATACGCGGGTATTATTATATTTGTCACTTTAAAGGCCGGCAACGCACTCGCAAGCCCTCTGGCATTGAGTGTATCCATGGGCAGCGGTATCACTTAACATCAGGTGAGCCTCCTGCCCCTGTTGTATAGAAAAACATAATGACAGGGAAAATAAGAGCTTTGGTTTATAAATAACCTACCTTGACACAATTTCTTTAGACAACCGCATGAATTCGCAATCATTTACCTGAAATAAAAAAAACATTCACATTAATACTGATATTCACAAAGATATAATTTTAATTAAAAAACAGAACATATATTAAAAAATCATGAAATTGGAAACCGGGCCGAGCTAATAAATGTTTAAGTAGATGTCGGGTAAAAGATTGATGGTTCAATCGTACCGCGATCTGGAGCGTGTCACCGGAGACACGCTTTTATGTATGTGTAATCAGAATCATTCACACTACGTACATACTTTTTACAAGTATTATAATAAAATATCTTGATAGTAGGCAGTTATTTGATACCAGCCGGAGCTCTTACAATAATCATATTTGTTTTCATCCTACTGTTGGTTGCACCCGAATCAACAACACTAGGCGAAGGCCACATTTTCCTATGACAACTACGTATATATTGCCGTAAGGACCCTGTTAGAACATAAGACGTATACGACGTTTATTAGGTGGAAGGGTTAATCACATAATCTGTGAATCTTAACCCTCAATCTTCCAAACTAAAGTCAAACAATAAATAGAAAGAAAGAAAAACTCTATTACTCATAATAAAAAAGGATATACAATAAAATGACATAGTGCACTAGACCCCACACTAGGATTCACTGTGTTTAAATTAAACTTAGAAATATTTACATAACTGAAACTCAGTGTTTTTTTTAGATAAAGAAATCCTATTCAAACGCGTAGTTCTCGCGATAATTATCACCTACATATTTTAAAATCTTAGTGGCAAGGTATCCAAATAAAACCTAGTAAATCAAGCCCCTTGAAGCAGACAGCTAACGGGACGTTCTAACCAGGATTACGGGAACGTGTCGTGTCCGTTGCCCGAAGGAAATGAGAAAGTTATCGCCATCTAAATCCTCACCCGAGCCCCTGAACGCTCCTCTAATAGATATAAAATCCGTGTAGGTGTAATTCAATTTCTTCCAAATAGACGGTGAAAACGTATAGATGTCTCATTTATTGTTTACAGCAAGATGTTATGCGAAAAAATTGGAGCTCAGTTTTCTATAAATAAATAGCATTGAAGTCATGAAAACAATAGATAGAATAAAGGTGCGCTTACACGGGCAACTAAAATTGCTCAATTCCAGTCAATACTCGTCAATTATGACGTCACGACTACATCAAGCAATTTACGGCAACGGCAACAAGCATCAATACTGCGCAATACAATATTGAGCGATATGGCGCAACTTCATCAACTAGGCAATACACGAGCATTTCAGTTTTCGCTCGCTATGGACGACATTGTTCTTGCTGCGGCGGCTTGTAGCGCTTTTTTTTATCATTAATCAAAAACAAAAAAGAAAGAAAAGGAATAGGCGTATCTGGGTGCGATCGTTTTTGGCAAAGAGGACAAAGTTTTCATTATGTAAAGAATTAGATGATATATTATTCAAAAACTTTACTAGAATGTCACGAACAGACTTTGAATTACTTTTGAATAAAGTAATTAGAAATTATTATTATTTAGACCTCTCGCTCTCCCCGCGGAAGCAAGACGGCAAGCCGCAAAACAAACAAGTGCGAATGAGACATATACAAAAATTGCTAGGAATTTCCAAGTCCATTGGATATTCGTCAATTCGTATCTGCGACATTGAGCGATATGAAATATCTGGAGCAATTAGAAGCAATATCGCCGAAATAATTTATTGAAATTGCTCCATTAATTGCTTCAGATCGGTCCATTCGTGTCGCCGAGCAATTATTGCCCTCGTGTAAGCGCACCTTAAGAATGAAAAAAATATGATTTAATAGATTATTATCAGTGTCAGTATTAATATTAGACAACAAGACACCTTTTACTAAAATCTTGGCCCGTCTGATATTTAGACCAGTATTGGTCTAGTTTCATTGTGATCATGAAACAGATTCAGAAATCTGAGGCCAAGACCTAAAGAGCTTGTAGCGCCACTGATTATTATTATTATTGGTCTAGTTTATGGGCGGGAGTTCCCTGATGCGTTCAATTCCAAGCGTACACTAATGGATTTCATGTTTCTTTCGCGCATTTAATACGTGTACTCCTACGGTAAAGGTAAACATGAGAAAGCGAGGCACATAAGGCTGTTCATCTCCTGATCTACTAAACAAAAGCAATCTGTGGCTAAGAAGTAGGCTTGTATATTGTATTATATAATATATTCTATTTATACAAATATCAGTCTCAATATAGAATTTAAAAAAAAAAATTTTGAAGCAAAATAATATGCTTTTAGCTCTAGCTAATTCTAAACGTAAAATAGCCGACAATAGACAAGCTTTCCTCTCCATACTAGAATCAATATTAAATTTTAAAAAAGACATACTGAAGGTTTACGTTATGAACCGATATATACTACATCCTTCAAAAGCACTTTTACTGTATTTTCAGTTGGATGACAGCTGACAGCTGTTGGTTCGTGCGGTTACTGCAAGTGATGTGTAGACCAAATATTTACCATGACGCGGGAGATTTTGTCATTGTTACAAACATGTTTATGATACTTTTAAATTATCAATTATGTATTGGATTAGCTGTGTATGTTCGATGTGTTTTATATTATAGTCTTCTATCCAGTAATATCTAGTATAAAACTTTCCGAATATTGTTTCAGAATCTTATATTTAATAGTAAGTACAATACACTGTACACAGTCGCAAACTGTTAGGCATTTTGTGCGTACGCTTGTCAGCTTCGGGAGTCAAGTGTATATTTATTTCATTTTTATTTGTCAAAAATCAAAAATCATTTATTCATGTAGGTAACACAATGTACTTCAAACGTTATGAACGTCAAAAAAGAAATATACATTAAATGCTTCTAATTCTACATTTACATGTTACATGTTATTGATGTTGGTACTAAAATTAATCTTTCAGATGTACTTTCTAACTAAAATGGATTTCTGTTGTCTAATTAGAATAAAATATTCTCCACTCACTATACTTTATACTCAAAACCCTATTAGTTAATTTTTTAATAAGCTATGTACATAACTTAAAAAATAATTCCGCTATTGTAAGAACCGTACAAAATCTTTCCGCTAAGATAATCTAATGGCAATTTGCGAGCACTTATCACAGTTGACGAAGACTTTCCCAGGTTCATTTGAATATCGATGTAAATCAGTTTGTCAAGTGCAAATTTCGGTTATAATTTAATACCCCACACAAAGCGATGCGCGTTGACTTGTGCTCCTGGTTGAAAGCTTTACGTCAATCTCATAATTCTGTGTTTGACGGGGAATTATGGCGTTAGCACTTCATTATAATACCTTTGTTCTCATTCTATTTCATAAGTCAAGAGCCAAAATTTACACAAAAGCGATTTTTGATCAAAACATAGATCTCATACGTATTTCGCGCACAAATGGTTTGATCACCTATAAATGTGAACAATTTAATAGAAAGTATTGTTTTATTATTCCAAATAAATATTATTAGAACTAAAAGCATCTTAATAAACCATTAATTATTATTTTAATAATAATAATAAATCGTTTATTTGCAAAGAAAGTGGTGCATTCAGATTGATTAATTATTAAAATCCCCGCACAATCAGCCATATAAAAAAGGCATGCAAATGTCATATTAAAATCATAATGTCATAATAATAAAAACAGTTAAGATATTTATCATTGTTGTCACTCATGATCTACGTATAAATACTCTCACACCTAAAGAACCTTGCCTTTAAAAATCTTAAAACATTTGTAAAACGAATAGGTAAACTATATATTTTATGATTTGGCATTAAAATATATATAGTCCTCAATTTTCTAAACCCTTCTACCACCAACCAACCCCGATTTAAATATATTAGTAGTGTAATAATATTTATATGGCAAAACAACGTTTGCCGGGTCAGTTAGTAAAATAACATTCATAAATTTAATTTCAATGATTTAAAGTTGGCATAACTAAAACTTTTATGAACAACCATAACGATGCCTTCTAGTTTTGACAACAGGTACCCAAAAGTTCCTAACGAGTAGTTTTCAAACAAGCAAACTAGTGTGGACCCCACACAATTATTGTTTTCCACTATACACCGGAATTCTAGTTTCAACCGCTTCAAACCGAAATACCTTGTTTGCAGATTTTCAAGAATTTTTCAAATAACGAAAAATAGAAGATCATTATTTTT